TGCTTGCTTATTCGTCGTTCTCGGCCAGCGACAGCTGCTTGGCGTCCAGCACAACTTTGCCAGCCTCACGCAGATCGCCGATGACGTGCGCTCAATTCGGTAGGCTCTATCGTTGCCCATCCACGCAGCTCCTCATGACGTGCATAGCAACACGATTCAAGCGCTCGTCCTTGCGTTCGAGGACGCCGAGCAGCACCTCATGTAGCATTCTCGCATCATATTCATGTCGTTGGCACTCATCCATGTGTAGGACACGCACCGAAGACTACTTGACGCCCACTTTGCGTCGCAGCAGGTAGGACCCTCGAGCTTGCGGGGCGTTGCACCGACACGAGATGCGTAGCAAACCGAGCTAGAGCAGTACGAGCACACGCTTCTAGTGCAGAAGGACATTCGCACGCGCCAGCGCCAGGAAGAGCGGTGCGTTGCATTCTCTGTAATGCTCGATCCGACTGATACGTGGGCGCAGGCGAAGGGCCCTCGGGGATGCCTTTGAGAAGGACCTCAAGACGTACCAAGCGCTCATAACATACCAGGGCCACGCGCCCACACGCCGTACGTACTAGGCTGCCGGCTCTATGAAACCAGGTAGAAATCTTGGTAGCAAAAGCAGCCTACTAGGCTGCTTTTGCTAACGTTACCAAGATTGCTTGATTCAGATTTTTATGTGACATGTCCGAGGGCTCCGAATCATGAAATCCGGACCAAAGAAATCGGGTTCCAGCCGCTCTATCCCGAAATGGATTTCATACTCTGTAATTAAAATGTGACTTGAAAAATGTATAGACCAAGACCCTCTCACGACGATGGAAGCAATTTTGCTTCTCCCAGTTCATGGACGCCGATCACTCAAGGATCTGACCGTTCTGTGCGCACACAACACTCTGTAGTACGCCGAGACGGCAGCGCGCTGGTAGAAGACCGCTGGAGCTTATGGAATTCACGGCGACCGCTCGCATGCTGCCAAAGGCGCTTCGATGCAGCCGGATATCCCATCGCGTAGCTGGATAATGACCTATAAGGGTTCAAGAAGAGTTGTTGCACAAGGTTCGCGACAAAAGGAGCGCAAGCCGTCCGCCTTTTATCGTCCCAACAGTGAAATGTCAAATTTCACGTTTGCAAAAACAGTCGACCCACTGCTCACTTTTCACGAACCGGCTCTCTTTCCTGACGTCGAAAATTACTACTAGAGTACTACGTAGTACGTACTAGTAGTAAGAAGAAATCCTGAAACGATTTGCCCATGCACACGGTAGGATGGTTCTGGTGTGATCGGCACGACGTCGTCGTCTGAGTCGCGCAGCGGACGCGGGTCAAAACGGACCAATCAGATGTCGCGTTCATCTGTGTAATCAGACCATTTTGAAAAAAACGAGCAGCAACATGCGTCTCTCATCGCTTGCGCTTGGGCTCGCGGCGCTGGCCGTTGCGAGTGCGATTGACGGCCGCCTTCCGTGCGACCGCGGAGTCCTCCTCGAGAAGGCCGGCGTCCAGACGCTCCAGACGTGCCTGGCGACGTCCAACTTGACCTTGGATACGCTCGACAAGGCCCACGCCGCTGCCCTCTGCGCCGTGCCTGCCTGCGTCAGCGTCGTCACGATGGCGTCGACAACGACAACGTGTCCGAATGGCCAAGAGTATGCCGGGCTTTGCGACGCGGCGACACCAACAGCGACCACCGGCCCTGCGACCACAAGCCCCATGACGGCGCTACCAACATCATCGGCGGCGTCCACCACCGGCGCCCCAAAGACACCCGCGGTTGCGCCATCCAGTGCATCAGCCGTGTCGCTGGCGACCGTCGTGGCCGTCACATCCGCCATTCTTCTCGTCAAAGGCACGTAAAGTTGGACACTTGATCGATTTGCTGGTCCTTTGAATGAAGAACACATGTGTTTGGAGTTGTTAGTCCTAAAACCTTCCTGAACCCCAGTTGTGCCGCTGTGAGCAACGTCGGAGGTGGCATATTCGTTGCATGTCTTGTAGTAGCATAGGCTATCGAAAGTAGGTAAGCCAATACTAGTACATGGCTAGCAGAGGTCTAGTCGATGAGAGGAATCGCGTGCCGGAGGTGCAACGGCGTGTTGGCCTCGGGCATTAGCGATATCGCAAACGCCCTCCAAGTCTTGACGTCAAAAATTTATTACATGACTCGGCCGAGACGGGCGCCGAGGAGACCACTGTACACCGGTCGAGGTACAACACATTTCGATAGCGTCGTGCTCACAGAGGTAGGTTGCACCAGACGAGAGCCAGAACGAAAGGACGCGCGTCGGGCCTCCGAGTCGCCGCGCGCAGAGGTAGCTCATGCCGTGGGCGAGCAGCACGCGCAGACCAAGAAGCAGCGTGCGGCTCGTGTGTCTGATCGTGACCGAGTTGACGTCGTGGAAGCGATACAATGCGATAAGCCGCCTTTTTAGTGGCCGTTACACACCCATGACGTGGCACGTTGTCATGTCGTTGTGGTGCACCAGTTTCGTTTTGGATCCGGGGGCGAGATGGTACGAGCAATTCAGTACTGTTGCTCCAAGGGTATAAAAACCTTGGCTGGGCTACGAGGATAGGTCCTTGCGTTGGACAACCCGGCTGACCGACACGCTGGGATCTGGTCCATCGGTGGACTTTGGCAGGTGGTCCACGCATCGGTGCCCGCGAACAATCCGCAAGAGACAATAAAATGCACCCAAGTACCCCGTGCGATGGTCATATCGTCTTGAATAACGCCATAAATGCCTCCCAGAATACAGCCGAGCGGAGCGTGTGCTGTCATAACGTTATCATGTCGCCATCTAGTCCACTCTGCGGTCCGACTCGGGTAGCGTTGGATACAAAGCGACCTTGGGTGCACGTCGATCGCATTGAAAACTTGGTGTCTCTTGTTGGCTTGGAAAAGTAGCGAAAGCTATGGACACCAGTGTGCTGTACCGGTACCAAGTCAAGCGCAGGAGTCCGCCTTGGATCGCTTTCGCTGGTCACGCCACGCCGGCGTTGCGGCATTTGATTGGTGGATATTCTCTGTTGCGGAATCCATTCCAATAAAAACTACTTGAATGTTGTATGCCTCGGAATATTTTTATGCACGGCCCAAGTGATTGGACCAGCCGTGGTGTAATTTACGATGGCACCGCCGACGAAGCCCACCAAGAAGCCGGCCAAGAAGGCCAAGCAGGTCAAGCCGCTCGCGGTCGCGCCGGGCAGCAACTGGCAAAAGCTCAAGGCCGCCGTCGCCAAGCCGGCCTCCAACAAGCCCAAGAAGCACGACCTCGCGCCGGCGCCCAAGGCCAAGAAGGTCAAGGCGGCGCCCAGCATCGACTGGATCGACACGAGCCTCATCGTGGCCATGGATTGCGAAATGGTCGGCGTCGGCTCGGACGGCAAGCGCAGTGTGCTCGCTCGCTGCAGTATCGTCGACTTTGACGGCAACGTCGTCTACGACGAGCACGTCAAGCCGCTCGAGCGCGTCACCGACTTCCGCACGCACGTCAGTGGCATCCGCGCCAAGTCGCTGCGCGATGCGCTTCCGTTCGAGCAGGTGCGTGTACGCAAATGATCGCCGCGTAGAGCGACGGTGTCTCTAGTGCCAGAAGGACGTGGCGGCCATCTTCGACGGCAAGATCGTGGTCGGGCATGCCATTCGCAACGATATGCAGGTCGACGCGTGCGCTGCCAAGCGAGATCATTGACAGTGGCATCTAGGCGCTCATGCTCACCCACCCCAAGGGCTTGATCCGGGACACAACCAAGTACCGGCCGTACATGCGCCGCAAGGTCAACGGCACCGTACGCCCGCTTTGCGTCGCGTCGCCTCGTCTCACCGTGTAATATCCTCGCAGAAATTGTACCCCAAGGCGCTCAAGCACTTGGCCGAAGAAGTGCTGCACAAGACGATCCAGACGGGCGAGCACGACTCGGTCGAAGATGCGCGCATCACGCTCGAGCTCTACAAGCGCGCGATGGGCCCGTGGGAGAAGGCCATCCGAGCCAGCAAGGCGCCGGGCCTCCTCGTGGGCCAACAGCCGCCC